ATGTATAATGTGGGGGGTGGGGGAAAGGGGAGGGCTATGCAACACAGAGAAGACAAGTAGTGATTCTACAACATCTTACTATGCTGATGGACAGTGACTGTAATGGGGTTTGTGGGGGGGGGGACTTGGGGTAGGGGAGAGCCTAGTAAACATAATGTTCTTCAAAAAAAAAATGTCATCAAATCAACAATAAAAAAAAATGTGCCTGTGTTAACCTGCGCACAGACACTCCCAGCAGCTGACTCTTTCCCCTGAAAACTGATTCATGATCAACCTGTAATAGCAAGTCCTGATGTTCTCGAAGTAGTTTTCCAAACAAACTCAAGCAACAATTAATAGGGACTAAAATTGATGAGTGAAGAGGGATAACTTACTCTTTTGAAAAGAATCTGTGCTGTCTCTTGCAAGTTAATTCCCTGAGAAAGGACGACAAAAAAGTGAACTACTGCCACCCACTGGAAGAGAGAAGCCTAAGAGAAAAAAAGTGACTCAGGCTCTCAGCAGCCGGATTCTGGAATTTTAACATAAAAATAGGGGAAGGGGAGAAAGAACTACAAACTTCCAATTATAAAATAAATCAGTCACGGGGATGAAAAGCACAACACTAGGAAGATAGCCAATAATATTGTAATAACTTTGTATGGTAACTACACTTTTCATGGTTAGCATTTAATAATGCATGTAAATTGTCAAATTAGTATGTTGCACATGTGAAACTAATACAACATTGTCTATCAACTATAACTTTAAAAAGTATTTAATCAGTGCTGTCCTAATGCCAGCCCTCCAGGTGTGGATAGTGGCTTTTTAAACAACAGCAATAAAAATACTGAGAAATGGAGTTCAAAGTTTAATCGGGCAACTTGCCCTTTTGGTATCTGGATTTACCAGCAGAAATGGTCTAAGGATAATTTTGTATTTGACAATCCTGCCTGGGATTAAGGAGATGCCTACTTGGAAAATGAAAACTCTTCATTTTTTCTCACAGGCAAAGCATATAAAAACAACACATTTTAAAGCAGACTTGGCATTTTAAAGTTCTGCCCTTTTTCTCCTGTGCTAAGAAAAATGACATGCTTGATGATGTGTGACTAAGAATGGCCCTTTTAAGATGTATTCAGTACTGAAGTTGATTACATATTTTGGGAGACTTTTGGACTGAGAAAATGGGCCACTCATGTGTGGACATTAAATAAGTGTAACTTTCATTCTCTCCCATTGGCATTTAAGGAACCACCAAAGTTTTTGATCTTCAAGATCTTTTAAAATGATTTATTTGACTGGGGCCATTGATTAAATTTTTCCCTGACATTCAAAGTACATTTTCAGAGTATATTTGATAGATGAAAAATCCTAATTAGGTAATGTTAAATGGAAAAAGCAAGAGACCAAGCTTCATGCAGGGGTATGGATCTAGATTGTTTCAGGTGTTTATGTCTGTGTTTGTGCTTATGTGTGTGTGGAATAATGGGAAAAAGTGCTACAAAGAAACACAGCAAAATGATCCCAGTGTCTACCTCTGAGCAGTGATGACTGACACTTTTTTCCTCATTTTTTCTGCATTTTTCCAACCTACCACAAATGTGAACTTTTTCCTGATCAGGAAAAACTGTATCTTAAAAAACTTCCTTAAAAAAAATTAAATGATTATAAGGCCATGGCTCATGGCAATTTTTAAATATTTGTACACCCAAAATAATTGTAGTTGAAATAGTTTAGACCTGCAGTTCCCAAATTTCTGGTCGCAGACCTTCTTTATAATATTAAAAATTATTGAGGATTCCAAAGTGCCCTTGAGTGGGTTAAATTTTATCCATTGATATTTACTAGAAATTAAAACTGAGAAAAATTTTGAGCATTTAATAATTCAGCTAAAAATGTTATATAATAAACCTATTACATTTTAACATAAACAACATATTTTTGGAATAATGGGGAAAAGTGCTACAGAGCTCAATATATTTTTCCAAAGCAAAAAACAATTTAGTGATAATAGTATTGTTTTACAACCGTGTAAATCTCTACTTTTTGCCTACCAGAGGCAGTTGGGATTCTCTTGTTTCTGCATCCCACCTGTCATAGGACATTACTTTCATCAAAGTAAATGAAGAATATCTGGCCTCACAAAAAATGTTTTTGGAAAAGGGAGGAGTAATTTAATAACATTTTCAAATAATGGTGGATATTCCCTCTACTACACTGCTGTGGGTTCACTGCACATGACATGTGCATCACAAGTCCATGCAGACAAAACTGCAATGAGTAAATGTACAGACCTAAAAATAATATCCCCAGAGGTCACATCATATCAAAAGAATAGTGTATTTTAAGTCCTAAAAGATAAGAATGTCAATTCTCTTCAGTTTGATCTGTAGATTCAATGTAATTTTGATTAAAATCTCTGCAAGCTTGTATGTAGATATTGATAACTGGATACTAAAATTTATACGGAAAGGTGAAGGAACTAAAAGAGCCAAAATCAATTCTAAAAAAAAAAAAGTTAAGATGGAGGACTCCCACTACCCAATTACAGTATGGTACTGTTAAGACAAGATACATTGACCAATGCAACAGAACAGAGCCCAGAAATATACCCACACAAATAACATCAACAGATTTTTTTTAAAACAGCTTAAGTATAATTTATATATGATAAAATTTATTTGTTCTAAGTGTACAATGCAATGATTTTTTTGGCCAATTTAGAGTTGTGCAAACATCACCACACCACAGACTAATTTTAGAACATTTTCACACCAAAAAGGTGCTTTATGTACATTTGTAGTCACTCCCCATTTCCACCTCAGGCAACCACCAATCTACTTTGTCTACAGATTCATCAACTGATTTTTGATAAAAATGTGATGGCAATTCAATTAAGAAAGGATAGTTTTCAAAAAATATGGTGCTGTATCAACTGGATGTTCTCTGCAAAAATAAACCTCAACACACATATCACACCATATATTAAAATGAGCTCAAAATGGGTCAAATACCTAAACATAAATCCTTGATTAGAAAACAGAAAAAATCTGTATGCCTTTGGGTTTGGTGATAACTTTTTAGGTAACTGCATCAAAAGTACAATCTGTTAAAGAAAAAAACTAAAAACTTGACTTTATCAAAATTAAAAAAGTTTTCTTTTAAAAGATACCATTAAGAGAATGAAAAGACAAGTGAGACTAGGAGAAAATACTTATAAAATACATTATCTGATACAGGATTTTATTCAGAATATATACAGAACTCTTACAACCCAACAGTAAAACCCAATCTTTAAAACTTGGGCAGGAGATCTGAACAAATACTTACCCAAAAAAGATACATGGATGGCAAAGAAGCATATGAAAAGATGCTCAACATTAGTTTTCATCAGGGAAATGAACATCTCAACCACAATGAGATACCACTGCAAGAGGAACTCTCATTCATTGATGGTGGGAATGCAAAATGGCACAATCATTTTGGAAGACAGTTTGGCAGTTTCTTATAAAGTTAAACATGCACTTAACAAGTGACTCAGCAATCCCACTCCTAGGTATTTTCCCAGGCAAAACAAATTATGTTTATATAAAAACCCTGTACATGAATGATAAAAAGAGCCATATGATGAAATACTCAGTAATAAAAAGAAAGGTACAAGCTTTGATTCACACAATATGAACTTCAAATGCCTTTTGCTATGCAAAAGATACCAGACTCAAAATGCTATGAACTGTGCAATTCTATCATTTACATGACATTCTGGAAAATACAAAATTCTAGGAATGGAAAACAAGTAATGGTTGTGAGAGGTGGGATGGGAAATTGAGTACAAAAGAGAATCTTTAGGGTGACAGAACTGTAGTATTGAGAGGTGAACACAGGCCTGCTCTTGTCAAAGCCCATAGTGAATTTTACTGCATGAGTAAGTCAACTGGGGTATCAAGAGATGCCAGATGGAATGCACAGGGTGAAAAATGAATCTGCTTTACAATTTATGACATAACCTCAATGAAAGAAGTGGGGAGTAAAAGGAACTGAATTACTTTGGAAAATGGTGCTCTGGGTGGATAACTGTAAGATAAAATAAGTACTTAAACACTATAGTTAGTCAATTTGTTTCTCCAGGGGTACAACTGAACTATTCTGCAACCACTTTGTAAGTACTGTGAAACAATTTGTACAAAATAAACAATAGTATTAGAGTTTAATCCAAAGTATAAAATAAATAGCCATGATCACATACTAATATAAATAAATGATCAAAAAACTAAGTAGGAGAAAGGAAAACATTTTCTTGAGGAAAAATTATAAATAATATATATAGATATTGCCCTCTCCCCTTGAGTGCGGACTGAACTTTGCTTCCAAAGGAAAAAAGAGTGTAAAGTGAAAAGCTAGTAACTTTACAGTGGAAAAACCTAGCAGACACCAACTTAACCAATGAAGAACATCACCAGGAAAGGCTGTTGATTCACATGCCCCTTGATACGGTACAATGCAGAGGGCACATCCTTCCTGGTAAAGCATAACCTCAAGTCTCATCACAAGGAAACATTAGGTTAACCTACATTAAGAACATCCTACAAAACAACTAACCAGCACTCCTCATGTCAAGGTCACGAAAAACTGAGTAACTGTCCCACACTGGAGGAAGCTGAGGAGGCACAAGTGACCAAAGCACTGCAGTGTGGTATCCTGGACTGGATCCTGGAAGAGGAGAAGAACATTGGAGGGAAAAGGATGAAAACAAAGTCTGTAATTTAGTGAACAGTGTTGTACCAATATTAATTTCTGAGTTTTGATAGATGTGCCATAGTTTATTTATCCTAAGTTAGGGGCAGCTCAGAGAAGGGCATGAAGAACATCTCTACCATCTTTGCAACTTCTCTGTATATGTGAAATTATTATAAAATAAAAAGGTTATTTAAAAAAAATATAGGAAAGCCACAGCACTAAAAACATGGCTATATTTAAAAATAAAAGGGACTCAGAGAAGATTATACACATTTTTGCAGTAACTTGATCAACACCAGTTTATTTGTAAACATACTGTATGTCAATAATCAAATTGACAATACTTTATATATTCACTCTATAATATTAACATCACACCAAAAAACAATCCACTGCACTCAGTTACAGTTTCTTTGAAATCTTTAAATACAAACTGTATTTGAAACACTGAACATAAAAGAGAAACATGAATGGCAGAGAAAACTGAAAACATCAAGAAAACTGATAATCCCCCAAAAAACAAATACAAAATTATCTCATTACCTATTTAACAAGAAGAAAAGAATCAAGAAAATCAGATGATCATATTTTCTAAAAATTACAGAAAGTAGCATTTCTTCAGACCCACCTGAGAGGTGAAACTGTACCATACTAAATTAAATTCTATGTCCTCTTTGATATTTCTTTTTTCTCTTCATTTCTAAAGATTGTTTGCCATGGTTTAAGCTATGTTTGGTGGGGGGAAAGAAAAGGGGAGGTAACACAAAGCCAAATGAAATTACTTCAAACATCTGCAAAAAAAAAAATAGGACAAAAATTCTTTAATAAATCTTCTTTGGCAAATAAAAGTCTATTACCTTCTTGGCGAATTGGATCAACACTTGTAAGATTTAAGAATACATCTTTACATGAATTAAACAAAGCCAAATTCATAAAGCAAAGCACAAAAGCAGCTTTCACATTCTGCTAACAGCTCTAAAAATGCAGATTCTCACTTCTAAAAGTATGAGTGGTCTTCAGCTGGGAATCAGAATCTTTCCTCAATCACAGGAGAAATCAGAGTGGACCACATATTTTTTCAGTACTTTCCCTAAAACCCTTGATCATTATTAGGTTCTATTTCCTCCTCCATTATATCTCAAGGGGAATATAGCAGCAGATTACTCCCATATTTTAAGTGTTAAAATTACAAACAACTGGGTTCATTGCCAACAACTACAAATATTCAATTCTTTATTAGTGTACATGTCATTACAGTAGGCTTAGATTGTTAATACAGGAATAAATAAAATAAACTACAATTAATTCAAACAAAGCAAATGAAAAGGAGATTAAAAAGCCCTGATCAAATGAAATACTTACAACTTCAGGTTGAAAAACTGTAAAAGTTATACGTACATATCTAATAGCACTAGGAATGTACAATACAATTACTGGAAAAATAAACAAGTGATTCACAGTCATAAGAAATTATTTTAATATTAGTATGCATTTTTCCTTTTATAGATACATTTATAACATACACTTGGTTTCCACCTCATAGAAGACAAAGTAGAAAACTAAATGTTACTGTGTGTACCCCAAACACAGCATGGACTGTGCCACAAGAAACCTGCTCCAGAATATTCAATTCTGTAGTTAGGCAATGGTTTTGAATGCATGGGTAACAGTTTTAATAAAGGCATATATTTCCAGAAGTATGTTAAATACACAAATATCAGTTCTATAAATAACAAAAATGATCAGCAAAAATGTTTATTTAGGTTATTACATTCTCAAATTTTCTAATGCTTTAAGTGTTGTAGATATATATTATCTGACCAGTTACTCTGGTTACAGTTTTAAGCTAGCAAACCGTTATCCTATGAGAAAAGCTAAACTAAGCTGTAACACTGCACAAACTTCCCAAGGAAAGTAACTTGAAAAATCTAAGAAATGATTCCAATTATTCTTACATTTGAGATACTAAAAGAATCAATGACTCAAGAAACATTTTGAAATTACTCAATTTTTCTTTATCATTTCCTCCAAAACTACTCACATAAATTTAAGATTCAGAATTCCTAAGAACATGTCCTTGAAGCAGATTTATCATTAACACGTTTTGATCAGAAGACATAGCCTTAATGCCTCTAATATGTAAATCTAAACTAAAATCACAATCCTCAGTTTGAAAACAACAAATTCAATTTTGTAACGAGTCATTGGTAAAGATAAATCAGGGTCAAAACGTGCAGCAGCCACAGCTACAAGAGTGGAAAATAAATCCTATTTTTCCATAAAGACTCTATGAAAATATAAAGCCCAAAGTGAGTGACAACAGAGGTCCACATATAAACACTGTTTAAAAATAGAATGTTTTCCAAAGCTTCTCATGAGATGTCAATGTATACAGTCATAGTCTGAGTTAAGACCTTATAAATCAAGGTTAAGTTATAATTATGCTGATTTACATACTTTTAACAATGTTCAACTGATACACATAATTTACAGACATCCACAGGAATTCTTAATGCCCCATTATCTCATTTCTCAATACTAGATGTTTCTTGTCTTATAGTTTTACTACTTTAAGTACCAAGAAGCCTTTTCAGAGAAAGAGTTCTACCTCTTCCCATGATCCCCTAAAGAGTAGGTAACAAAATATAAAATTAAACAAGATTTATGTCTGAAACTAACATATAAAATTACCATTGCAATATTCATAGAGACTGCTTATAAATGTAACAGTCATCATAAAGCTTATAAAGTATACCCTCAGTTTTATAAAAGAAATGCAGATTGTCTCAAGGTGAAAAGTACAGTGCAGGCTGCTAAAAAGCTCTTTGCTGCATTGGCAGGTGTACTAATGAGGAAACCTTCAGAAAAAAAGAACGTGTCCCCAAGCCTTTCACATCAGTGAAGTGTGAACTGCATTGCAGCAGCACGAAGCTTTTTAGTGCTGGCACCACAAAGCTAACAGTAAGAAAGAAAAAAGGCAGAGGGTGTGAGCAACAAATGGTGTGACCAAATTACTGCAAATGGAGATTGGCAATAAGAAACGAGGAAGGTGACCGTCCGCTCCATTCTGATAAAATGCCATCTTTGAATATTAAGTTCTTAGCAGGAAGTGGAACTCCTGTATCGCCACAGGATGACTGTGAAAGCCAACTTGAAAAACTGGCCTCGGTGTGAATATCCAGTGTTGAAGCACCTTCCTAAAAGATCAAGAAACAAGAGAAAAATTCTGTATCCAACACTACCAAAAATTCTGTGTCCAACACTTAATATGTATTTCTCACATAGCTCTTGAGAAATACAGACATTGATTACCCAAGAAATCAAAGCACCACAGGAGATGCAAAGATGTAACTCACACACCCAAAATAATCAATGATGGGTATTAATATATGCAAAAATGACTAATATACTAAGTCTAAACATGCTAAATGTTTTGAAATAAATAGAAATAATGGGCTATGAGACTAGTACATAAGAAAAAGTTAATTCTCAGACAACCTCTAAAATCCATCACCCAACACTCAGCACCAGGACGATCCATCACTTCCAGGGCTCTGATTCACACATCAGCACAGACCTCTCCCCACAATTCCAGGCTCAAAAACCCACCTGTGTGCAAATTGCTCTTGGATGGCTCACCACACATGCCACACTTACAATAACTGAAGTCCCAAATTCTCCCTTCCTGTCCCTGTCCAGCCTTCCCTACTCCACACACCATACTAGTCAAAAAATACGAAAATCAGTCTTGATTCTTCTTCCTCACCACATCCTCAGTCTTTTCCTCATATTTAATTAATCACCAAGTTCTATCAATCTACCTCCAACATGTACCCCAAATTAGTTTATTCAGTCAATAGCCACTACCACAATCTAGGCCACTGTCTCCAAATTGGGGTACTCATTCCAAAGTGGGTGAAGTACTATATGTGAAGATTTTAGAAATACTGTATCTACTTATTGCATCCTTATAAAATTTCTATTTTTGTCCATTTTATAATATACACAATTTATTGGTGTAACACTTGTAACAAACCTTTATTACAGATGTATGCAAAAAAATTTTTTTTCCCATGGAAAAGGGTACTACTCAGCTACCACATTTCTCACTTGAGCTATTTATAATAGTCTCCAAACTAATCCACTTCTATGCTTGTCCTTTTTTAATCTATTCTCTAAACAGTAACTAATTTTTTAAAATAGTCAAATAGAAATAATGTCATTACTTCTTTACAAGTCTAATCGTTTCTCTTTGCATTCAGCATAAATTACAAATTCCTTAATATACTCCAGAAGGCCCTAGCTTCCCCTCATCTTCAACCTCACCTCTTGCCAGTATCCCTCTTTCATGAGGCTTCTGCCACCCTGGCCTTCTTGTGTTTCCTGGAACACCAAATCTTTCCTGACACAGGACCTTTGCACCTATTAAGCTCTTCCTGGAATACTGTGATTTCCATCCTTTAGTTTTCAGCTATGTATCATCTCTACCTATTTAAGTTAGGTCTACCTTTGGATTCTATCAGGTTTGAAGGAGTTTGGCTCTTACAAGTGCTTACTGAAATCTCTAATTATTTACTTGACTATTATCATTGTTTCTCCAGTACCTGATAAAGGGTCTAGCATACAGTAGACTCAAGTATTTACTGAAAGAATAAATAAAACTGCAAAATATTGATTTTGAACAGAAACAACCCATTCTAAAAGTTTATCAACAAATCAAGGCTAATGTATCCTTTCTTTACTTGGGGCAGAAGAAGACAGAAGGTCTGCAGCCCTGGCTTTCACCACCACCACAGACAACCCCTCTCTCAATGGGGAATCACTGCAGTTAGGACTGGATGTGCACCACCCAAGAACCAGCCCCTGCCTGGTGCATGGCCTATAGTAGATGCTTAACACCTTCCTCTTGAATGAAGCACTGGCATAGAACAGTGAGTCCAAGCTTTAGATCCTGAATACCTGGCCAGTGAGATCATGTGCAAGTCAACTTTCTGCATTGCACTGTCATCATTTATCAATTAAAATTAATGCTTATTTCATGTCTCACTACTGTGGAAACTTGAAATAAACATGGAGGTGCTTTGCATACTATAAAGCTTTATACAAATACCATTTGGATTTTTTGGGTTTTGTTACCTGGAATGAGTGAACAAAGTTAAGGACTTGTAGAGAGAGTTTTCTACTGGAATGTAAGAGGTTTTGAAGGCTGAAAAAAAGGATGGTAAAGTTTAAAATAATCACATAGAAAATTTTTTAAAAATAGTTTTAATGGTTCTCATCAATGTCTGCCTGTTTAATAACAGGGAGTAACAGTGCAGAAAAAGAACATTTTGAAATAAAATATCACATATAACCAAAATTAAAGTTATCATTTAAAAAAGTTTAAATTATTACCAAATATAAGTGTTACACGAAAGAAAACTTTTAAAATAAATATTGAGGGACTCTGAGGGATGACAGTTATGATACAAACTTCAAATACCCAACTTAATTTTAAAATATATCCTCATGAAGACTGACAGATTTGACATATGTCAAACCACCTAAACTAAATATTCTTCAAGTATGTAAATTGGTAACAATTATGTTGGCAATCTTTAAAGCTATGCAGTATTTCTACTTTTTTATTTATGTATGTTATTGATTTTTCAGAGGACAGTTATTAAAACACAATTCAAGAAGATCTGGGGACATCACCTCTCCAGGCCACTCACCATGGCAATGAGATTCAATAATGCTCTTTTCTGCTAACCTAGACAGTCTCAGAACCTTTACTACACTGCCTGTAGCAGCCATTCCCAAGGGGTCAGTGTTCACATAAGATAAAACCCACATGTCATCTGTGGGAAGTAATACATGCTCATTTTAGAAAGTGTGCAAATTGAAGAAAATTTAGAAAGTCAGCCATAATTCTACCATGTTAATCACTATTAACATAACATAACCTGAGTGTGTATTAAGAGTGAGAGAAATGCACAAGATAAATTTTCTTTGAAAAAACCAGGTCCATACTTTCATATAAGCATGCCCATTTTACCACACCCTTGCCAAACGGGGGTAACTAGGTAAATACAATTTTAATTAACGAAAAAACCAGGTCCATACTTTCATATAAGCATGCCCATTTTACCACACCCTTGCCAAACTGGGGTAACTAGGTAAATACAATTTTAATTAACCAAAACATGTGCCCAAAATGTTTGCATGTGCCTAATTTCTGAGGTAGTGAGTCTAATTTTGAAAAATACAGCAAAACCCTTAAACTAGCAATCTTTATTCAACAAAATATACACAAGGCAATCACTATGTTCATACGTAGAATAAAGTCAAGTCAGATACAGCAACAATTACTGAAAGCTTAAAAATCTTGTAGATGAAAAGATGACAATGAATATAAACCCTTACCTCTCTTTAGTGCAAAGGCCATGTGTAGCAATTTTTCTACAAACTTTCTGGTTTAATTCAGAACTAAACAATGGAATTCCAAAGCACAGTTCAAGAGGAACCCAATCTGCTTCTATTGTGGCAACTACCAAAGAAGACACATAAAGTTATTAATCATATATGTTTTATGTATGTTTTGACTGACCAGGGTTTCTTAACTGAGGTCGAGATTTTGATAGATTCCTCCCACCCCCCACTGACATCCACCAATGGCTGAGCAGGGGACAGGATTCAGAGGGGGCCAGTGACTCTTAGAAAGAAGAAAGAATATTTTTTTAGTGTGTTCATGCTTGTGTGAAGGTACATAGCTTTCATCAGATGCTCAGAGGTCTTTTACCCAAAAAAAGCTATTGCAAGGCATCTATAAGAAAATTAACCAAATATTTATGTAACATAGGAAAATGGAACTTAAGTCATTATTCTCAGGTCATATTTTTATAACAATTTTATTATTCTAAATGTATACAAATGTTTCCTAGAAAATACTTATGAAAAGGTATGTTACAGATAAGAACAAATTACATCCAAATGAAATAACCAAAGTGTTAAACCTCAGAAATCAATCTAAGATTGCAAATAATTTTGAAAACCTTACCAGAATTTTGCTTTATTGCTAAATCTATAGTTGCTTCCTCAATGACCATTTCAAATGACTCTGTACTCCCATTTACATCTGAGCCAGAAGCCAAATCAGGTTCTCCTTATAATGAAAGGACACACACAAGATGAGGATTCTAGGAGTTGGCTTAAGTTGTCAATAAATCAGTCCTAACATAAAAGAAGACTTCAGGCAACAAAAATGGCAATGGAAAACAATGCACTCTTTAACCGAAAGTGGTGGTTCTCAACTGGGGCAATTTTGTCCCCCAAGGACATATGACAATGTTTGGAGACATTCTACAATAGACAGGACAGCCCAGCCCTGTACAACAAAGAATCGTCCAGCTCAAAACGTAAACAGTGCTGGGAAAATCCTGGCCAAAAGAAACAAGGATTCGGAAGGCAGAACACAAGTTTAGAGCTTCACTTAGATCTTTACGAAAGTCATTTCTATCCCCATGGAAATACGCAGTTTAGTTATACCTTTCCTCTTCAAAATTCTTTTTTTACTCCCTGATATCTTTCAGCACTCGAGATCCTCCAAGAACACCTAGATCTTACCTACTTCTCCACTCATCTTCCACTACTGCCGAAGAGATCCTTTCTGTTGGCCAAGATGAACTACTCTATTGCCTGACTCTCTCTAACTGAAATGCTGCTACCTCCAAATAAACAATCATCTTTTGTGTAGCTAACACCTCGGTTTTCACAATTCAGTTCCAATCTTACCTTTTCTGTTAGCTCAGATGGGCTGAGATATGCCTTACTTGTCCACTTTAAGTTAAAGCCAATGGCTACTGCAGTCCTGTAACAGTACACCATAAGCTGATTCACTTGCTTATCTCCCTTTCTAGGGCTTTATTCCTTAGGTCTTATTAGTTTAAATATCTCTACCACCTAACTAGGTAGTCCATAATGTTTGTGGATTCCAATGAAATAAAACACGACATCTATACGAGACATGCTTTTAAGCAACTGCCTAACCCATACTCCTCCTCTGGAAAATGCCCCTGTGCAGTCAACTGTTCAGAGTTGCCTGACTTCCCTGGCTAAAGGCATATGGACAGGAGTGGATACCTAACTCAAAGGGAGCCAATCCAATTCACAGCATGGCTAGCAATCAATCACACTTTCTCAGTATTTCAAACTCAAAGGCTCTGGGAATATAGTCAATCAACGATAGACACCTGACCTGGTAAGTTTCCTAGAGTGATGAACCACAGCTGGCACCACCGCAACCTAAGCCACATATAAGCCAGTATTATGCCAGAGCAGAAACAATCACTAAGCATGATCTGAGAATGAATTTTTAAATTAAAAAGAAAGAAAAATTACCTAAGGAAAATGAGCTGTTGTCATGCAGGACAGGATGGAGACAGAAAGGGGAATGAGACCAGGTAGGCTAAGCAGGAAATGGTTGCAATAATACATACTTAAACTATCAAAGACTCAGATGAGAATAGCAGTTATTGAGAATTAAAAAAGAAGACAGAAGGAAAGAAATGGATATGAGAGATGTTTCCGAAGACTGATTTTTGCAGAAGTTGGAAACTAGCTGGACAGAGTGGAAAAAAGGAGACAGATGAGATGAGATTTGATTTTAAGGCCTAGATACCTGACACAATGGTGCCTCTGACAGAAAGAGAAAGACTAAAAGGGAACAACTGTTCATTCTATTTTGGAAACATTTTAAAGAGTAAAGCTTTAAAACCATCATCCCAGAAAGGAATGTAAAGCCTATAAACAGAGATAAAACAGTAAAGGGCTAAATCCCAATAACCACTATATATTCCAATCCCAGGTCATCACTTGAGTTACGCAGTTAGTACTTTCTCCATTTGCACAATTGCATTTGTCCAAATAATGTCACAGAATATTTTTCATCCTTCAGTGAAAAAACATTAGGTATTAAATAATTGAGCATCTCCACAAGTCTCCCTGCTTTTTAAATATTAAGATTGTGATAAACTCAATACCAATTATCTTAATTCAAAGAACCCAACTATTGGCTAACCTCTCTCATCAGAAGCATCACTGAGTTTTCTATTTGCAAGTTGGCTAGAAGCATTCAGCATGGTGACATATCCGCAAAAATGCTGCAAGTCCACTTTGTTCCTTAATATCTGCAACGCTTTATGAACACCCATACTGACACGAGTGAACTCTAAGAACAAAAAGTTGACGTCACATTATATAAGTAAATAGTTTTACAACATAACACCAAAAACTTAAACATACTTTACTTTTATTAAACAATTCTTATAAATACTTTTATATTTTAATCTATCAGGACTGATTCCAATGAAGAACTACCTATGAATGTAAAAGGATGCTGTATATACATAACATATTTATAGCCTTCAGGAGGCATTTGTTGGATCAGAACAATTTATCTGCTAAGTGAACAATTAAAACAGCTCCAAATTCTCTAGCCTTCTCTTTGTGGTTCTAATTCGGCCTCAAATGCTTACTTGGTAGGCTTCTACTAGGAAACGTATTAAATACACATCGTTTTTAAATTTAAGAAAAGTAAAATTATTCTTACTAAAACTAGAGCTAACAGTATACTTGAAATTATATTCCTAATAAGCTATTTAAGTATTATCTCAAGTTCTCATAAATATGTGAACTTGTAAAAAGAGAAAGATGCTCTGTACCCAAGTATGAAGATTCCTCTTTTTCATAATTCACAAAAAATCTCCCAAGTCAAGAAGTCTACTAATCAGTTCTCAAGATTTTATGACTTTTAAGATCCTGTTGTCACTATTCTGTATCTTCAGGTGAACAATTAATATCTCCAAAGAAATATATAAAGTATCAGAGGATTAAAATGCAAAGTTTAGTTGCAGAGAAGTACTTATTTCTGAATAAGGGCTATTTTTTGGAAGAGAAAACTCTCTTCAAATTTCCAAAAGACACTGCTTAATTTCAAATCTGAAGCTTTCACAGTCTAGCTATGTGAAAAAGAAAAAGTTATGTATAAAAATATTTCTTTTTTTACTTTGAGGAAGAGAGGACAGTGGCAACTAACATTTTGGAATAACTTATAGAAATATGCAAGTTTTAATCACATACTATTTTTCATTTGAATAGATATACTTTCTGAATAGTCAACAGTGAAGAGGTATCCTCTGTATCAAACAAAAGGAAGAGTTTATTTGCTTTCAGAAATTCTGAGCACCTTTCATCAAATATCCTGTAGCTCACATTTGATTCTACAAAGAGATAACAGAGCTTTTCTCCCTTGATTCTAACTAGCTTAATTGAGCTCAAATTCTGCAATCCATTCAAATCCTAACAGCAAAAATAAAATTGAACAGCAAAAACAAATGCTGAAACAGGAAATACATGTAAGGGGCTCTGTAAACTTTAAAAGCAGTATATGAACGTTCACTAGCATCCACTTCTAAATTACCTTTACAAGCCCCCCGGGGGTGGAAAAAAACAACATGTAACATAAAAAAAAAATTAACTTTCTAAGCATAAAATCTTCCCTATGATTTGTCTTTTCCCCAATTGTCCAAATAAACAAATTAAAGGAAACTAAAAGGCAAAACATATAGAAAACCTAGTTTTTTCCACCTAGGCAGGTAACTACTTACTCTCTTCATCTTCAAGACAGACTAGTATTCTTTCAAAGGTCCTAAATGAGTCTTACTGTTAGTTCTTTATGGTTAAAGACACAAGACAAAAAACTACCTTTTGCCAAGACTCTTTATAAGCAGAACTTGGTAAGACACTAGAACTTAAAAATATTAAGAATTCACTTCCTGCTATGTTTTCCACCAAATTGTTAACAAAGGTTGATAAAAAAGTCAAATGGGTACAATTTAAAAGAAAGGTACCTCCTTGTAGCTCTGTTTCATCAAATGGAAATGGTATGTGGACAGTTTCTCCTATCCCATGCAAACCATGTCCCTAAACATGAAGAAATACAAGTTGAAAGGTATATGAGAAACCTGTATTTCTAATAGTAGATATTCAAACAATAAATAAGATTGTGCTACATGATGGTATATTCCATGCCAATACTTCATCAAAATGCTTTCAACAACTTCCTATTTTTTTCTAAAAAGCAAAGACAATCTTAGGTATATATTAACCAATAAGGCAATTTGTCTCAAATTAAGTATATGGGCTAATGAAGAAAAAGGAAGCTCACTGAACAGGTAAATCAAGTATTAGCCAAGTGAAAGCTGAATGGGATCAAGTGCACTCACACAAGGATTAGGCTGCAACTCTGAGAGAGAAAGACGGTGAGAATGCCCAGAATCACCTGGCATTACCATGGACCAGGAACACAAAACTCAAAACACCTGCACTGAAGAGGTAGGCAAAAGTTATACTGTGCAACATTATAACTATATATAATTGGAAACGAAAATGTCTGGTCAACAGGGGGCTGTTTAAATAAATTAGCAGAGTTATGTATTTTTATACACAGAAAGAGGAAGCTCTCTACAAACTGAAATGGAAAGATCTCCAAACTGCTAGGTCGAAAAAGCACAGGCATAGCACTATGTTGAGTGTTTGCATATGCATAAAGAAATTCTAGAAGGGCAGAGCAGAATAAATGTGATAATCTGGTTTGGAGAGTTGGGAAAATAGAGAGTGTTAGGACAGTGATATTTTCTTCTGTGAGCCTTTTAACAGTGTTTTATTTTTGAATCATGTGAATGTACTATCGAATTAAAAATAAAATTTTAAAAATCTAGGCATCTAACCGCCCCACTCCCATTTTCCAATAATAATTTAGTTTCACCCATCACATTCAATTAATGTTGTTCATCTGAATTTTATTTTAAAGTATTTTAAATTTTATTTAAAGTAAATTTGTTGTTGGCTTTACAGTTCTGAGAGAATAAGATGAAGAATTTACTTTTACCATTATATATGGTATCATTATAGGAGAAAATTTAAGTGAACACTGGGGATCTATACATCTTTTCCCCTTTAAGAGACCCATGCACTATTCGCATTCAAGAAACTATGATAGAAAAAAATAATTTCAGAGAAAAATCACACTCATTTAGTTGGTTTATATAACAACTTGAATATATTTCTGACAGCTCGCTTCTGTACCACTGTCACATTTATGATTTAAACCGTAAATAAGATGGTTTTAACAAAAGCATGGTTTTAATCAAAATCTGTATTTTATGTTTTAGGTTCTAGCAGTCTTAATTTTTTCCACTAACTCTAATAAAAGAGACACTCTTTTTTAGCAAAAGCAAAACTCCTTAACAAGCACCTCAGAACTCCTCCCCTTCTCCTCCTACCACCACTACCACAGCTAACATTTTTTGAGATCATCCTATGTGCCACACAGGATAAGCACTGTATGTAGATCATCCATCTCAGTCATTTTTTTCCAACAACCTTTAAAAATAGAACTCTTATCATCCCCAGTTTGCCAGTGAAGACACTGAAGTTCAAGGAGATTATTTAATTTGCCCAAGATTACTAGTAAGTAGTGGAAACAACATCTCAAATTAGGCAGTCTGACTTAAGTCCATGCCTAACCCATTCTACCACTTTATCTCCCACTGCTACCCCACCAAGACCTGTTTTCCCTCACTGGCTAATGTATCTTCCCTCTACAATGCTAATGCTGACTCAAGTTAGTCTCTCCTTTTCACCTCTCATTTGAATTTTCAGAGTATTTTCAATTATCCACTGGAAGCTCTACCACCCAAATGTCCCACAGGCACCTACACTCAACGTGACACTAACACAGCACATCTGCTCCCATGACAGGCTCCTCCTCCTGGAGTCCCTCATACAGGAACATCACCGTATTTCCACCTTCTCAAGTCAATACTCCAGGAACCATTGTCTTTCTCTTCCCATTTCCTTCTCAGACACCTGATCAATTCTATTAATTTTATATTCGTAGTAATTCTTGAATCCACTTTTTCCTTTCAATTCATATCACCACTCTCCTGATCTGGGCTGTGCTCATCCCTTAACTAACTCCTACACTGAATCCTACTAGTCTTTCTGCTTTAGGGATCTTCCCCCACCCAACCTTTCTGAACACAGCCTCCAGGTTGACCTTTCCCAGGCACAACTGACTATGGTAATCCCCTGCTCAGCACGCTTTACTTACTGCCATCAGCCTATAGGGAGTGTCAGCTCTACAGCAGGACAGTCAAGGTACACCACACTCAGAGGCCTGCCTGCAGGCAAAACACTCACTGGCAACTACTACAGGACAGGCACTGCTCTAGGCACCAGGGAAAAGGCACTGAAGAAAAGGAAAGTATCTCTCTGCCTAGAGATTTATTCATGCTGACCCCTCTGCCTGGCCTGGCTCTCTCCTAGTTTATCTTTTTTTACTCAAACTGGGTCTCATTTTCGCTAAGGAGCTTCCCCTGAGCTTTTCTCCTTACCCCAAGGCTGGAATGGATATTTCTCTAAGGCTTCCACTGTACATGGTTCTATTCAGCACTCAGCAAAAAACTGACACCGAGTGCTTACGCAACTTTTCCCACAGACCTAAGTTCCTTGAACACAGGGACCATGCCTTACTTGTACAGCCACATTAATTAGCATAGATATGGCACATATGATTGTTAATCGAATTAATTCTTTACTGAAAACCCATTATGTACCAGAAAGTGTGCTATACACTTGACATGCATTCTTATTTCATTCTCTCAACAATCCCATAGCTTAAACTGCTTACCTCACCATTATCTGTTACTATTATTTTGTTACATAATATTTATTTTGTTATGTAATATTTTGTTATTTAATAGTTATTGCCAAAATGTCACACAGCTCAATAAGCACATTAGAAGATGCTCACTAGAGTTAGCCATCAGGAAAATACAAATCATAACCACAATGAGATATTTTCACCCACTAGGGTGGATATACTAAAAATGTCAGATAATACCAAGTAGTGGTCAGAACACAAGATGGTGCAGCTCTGGGGAACAGCCTAGGAGTTCCTTAAACAGTTAAACATAGACCTACCATCAGCATCTCCACTCCTAGCCATGTACCTAAGTGAAATAACAACATGTCCACAACAAAAACCTGCACATGAAAATTTGTAACAGTGATCATTACTATTCACAATAGCCAAAAGATGGAAACAACCAAAATATGCATCAATGATGAAAATATAAACAGAATGTGATATATTCATACCAGGGACTATTATTTGGCCATGAAAAGAAATGCACTCCTAGTACATGCTACATGCGGAACCCTGAAAATATTCTGCTAAGTAAGAGAGGGCCATCACAAAAGACCACATATTACACAATTCCACGTACACGAAATGCCCAGAATACATATTCTAGGGAGACAGCAAGTAGATTAGTGTTGTTTAGGGCTGAAGAGATGGGGAACAGGGGAGTGAGAACTAAAGCTACAGGATTTCTTTTTGAGGTGACGAAATGTTCTAAACCTGAGTATGATGATGGCTATGACCACAATGAAAATTCACCACTGAATTAAACAATTTAAACTGGCAAGTTGTATGCTATGTGAATTATGTCTTAAAGAAAAAACAGCCTCACAGGCAGCCCAAGGTGAGGCTGGAATTCAGAGCTGGGTCTAACTGGAAGTCCACATCACTTCTTCCACTCCCACACTGCCAGAAAGGCCAGGACTAAAACCCAGATCTGAATCTACACGCCTTAGTTTCACAAATGCAAATTATTGATGTCTGACTGACTTACAGAAAGTTGGGACAAATTATGATCTTTAAAACAAAAATCCAAAATTGTTTTAAATAAAATAACTGTACCTGAATCAAAACTGCCGAATGTGTTAAAGCATCATTCAACATCGTGAGCACATTTGATGTCGGAACTACCCCAGGATCATGACCCCAAGATGTTATTAGTAATCGATCATAACCCTATGGGTAAGAAATAAATAAAAGATAAAGTGGCATTTTGGAAATAGCATCTCCAAATGACATTTGCAAACACAAAAAAAGTTAAAGTTGTACGAATTTCTATCACCTTCAAAAATAATTAAACAAACCTTACATAACATACCTGGAATATATCTGGCAGTTTTCGAAGTCTTGTACCTTTAGATAGTAAAAGAGATGGAGGTCCTTGCCCAGTGATATGGTAAATGTACAGTTTAAACCAGACAGAACTGACTTCTGGAATAGCTGGTCCAATATGCTATAATCATAAAATAGGTAAGATACAGTTGAATACACATCTAAAGTGCCCAAATTTCACAAGTGACCGAACAGTCTTACAAACAACTAATTCCTCATATATATAGTAATTGCTATTAACCTAATGGAAATAAATTTTAAATGTTCCACTCAAACAGTTCCGATTTTATGCTAGAATTAAGAAAGCATGTCTTATCACTGTATTAAGAGAATGGACTCTGGAGCAGCCTACCAAGGTCTGAATCCTGGTTGCATTCCCTCATCCATACCACCTTAGGAAAGTAATTGAGCTCTCTGTGCCTCATTTTGCTCTTTTGTAAAGTAGTAATAAAATATCTACTTCATAAGGATGTTGCAAAATTTTCAAAAAGGTTTAAAACAGTACCTAGCACATAACTAGCTCTATCAAAGTGTTAGTTATTATTATAAACACATGCATTTTTTCACAAGAGGGATAATCTAACTTATCCATCTTGCCATTCATACAGACAGTCTATGGATTTTTACTATGCCCAGAGGTTGTGTTTAAAAAAAAAATTAGCAGGAAGTATATATATATATGTGGGGTGGGGCTTGGGCAGGGGCACAGACACAAAGAATTACAAAAAAAGACTGGTAAATGAAAAATCTGCCCTCTTATACTGAATAAAGGACAAATTTGTAGGGGCACGTGTGCCCACTGGGACAGCTAGACAGCACAACCTTGTACGAGAGTCCCACCCTTTCTTCCACACTATTCAACTCTGCACATTTTAGCACTAAAGAAGAACAAACTGGATCCCATCTCTGAAAACGGTACAGGCTACAATGTCCTTGCTAAGTATACAAATAAATGCAACTGATTCATTTTTAAAAAGTGAAAAACCAGAAGTGATGTTTTTCAAGTAAATTTTAAAGACTCAATTGGTATTCCACCTTTCAAGCACAATCTTCTCTTTTCAGCTTACTTAGCATCACAACCCCATTTCTAAAACTTTTCATTTTTCCTAATTAAATTTATCTTTACCCCTCAAGGTGATCCAAGCTTCCTTCTTAGAGCATCCCCAAACATCCTCTTTAAAATACTGCATTCATGAAGAAAATTTTAATATATGTGTTACAAATTACTAGATGATACATTAATAAAATGTACCACTTATACCTCAAATTGAACATTACACCTAACAACAGCACAAAACGCAAAACTGCTAAGTCAGTGATTTTAATATTTGGTATCTGCAAATTGAGAATTAACACAATAAAACTGTCCAACCTCTTCAAGTCATCACGAGGAAGAATGAAACAAGAGCACTAGTGACCTTCCAAGTGCGTTTACCTGAGGGGTACAGCTGCTGACAGGCCGAATCTCATTGGTGAGAGGCGCCATGGAAACAAGCAGTGTGTAATTTTTGTTTAGAACTCTGCTGCAAGTTGCAGGATCCAAACCGAGCAGGCTTTCACAGCGCAAGAGATCCAGAGGAAAACCTGAATTAGGATCAAGCACACACACAGAATGAAAGACTGACCATGCGAAACAAAACTAAGATAAAATACTGATAACTGCCTTGAGATTCAAGAAAAAATTTTAAAGATAGAATCTCAATTAAAAGTGTCAACTTTCCTAAGAGACCACAAACACACTTAAAGGTGCAAAGCTAGGAGTTTTTATTCTCTGGTCCAGAAAGATGACTCTCTACTGGTGTTTTCTTCGGCTACTTTTTACTTAAAAGAACGTGCTTGTATACCTTACTTCCTCCTCTCCATCCCCAGCCACTCTTGGCCGTGGCATATTATGAAAGCCTAAGTGCCAAGGGAAAGCTGTGTCCTTCCATCTCCAATTTACAATCTCTACAAAGAGCATCATAGCTAAATTCTGGCTTTAGCATAGGCATAAGAGTTCCTTGTTTAGAAACACGTAGTGCCCGAGACTTCTGGGTCATCAAACATGCACTCACTCGGCATGCAAAATATTTTCAATGTTCCCTTTCTTAGTCTTTGGAAAATACCAATCCTATTTGCTTCATAAAAAGATATTAAAGGTTGAAAGAAACTTCAGAAGAACAAGTTAGCCCACCTCTCCCTTCAACTGAGAATGAATCTAAAAAATATGTGGCCCAATGGATGAGCCCAGAAGCACTGAGCACAACTAGAGACTGGCTTCTCACCTGTAATGTCACACTCCAGTAAAAGAAACCAGGCTCCTAGGAGAATAGGCTGATTCCTTACAAGATAAGACTGTTTTGCAAGAAAGTAAAGAATTGTTCCCCAAAAAAATTTTTTTTTTTTAAGATGCAGGCATGGCACAAGGAGACAGGAGCCAGCTTGAAAGGGAATCTCATTGGCAAAATCTGAGACAACTGTAGCACAGAAATAATTAAGAGACAGTCATGACTAATTATAAAGCACTGGAAAAATAGGAATTCATAAATCCATACTGAGAATATAAAAGAATGCCTAATCTCAACTGCTAAATAGGGAAGAACTGCTGGAGTTGGACCCATCACAGTAACGAGTGGTTCAGGAAGGAATCATCATGGACACTAAATCTAGAAAGAAACACTGATGAGGAGTAGGGGATATTTGCATGGTTTTAAAGTATATGCCCAGAGATTGTTTATTAGTTGGGGAGTCAGGGGGAACAGTTAACTACACAGTGGAGAAATCAGCAAAAACATTAATTGGGTGATCAAAATTAACATCACTAATGAGGGGCAGATGGAAATCAAGTGCCTCCAGAAGTCACACCCTTAGAAGGACACATTACTTATGCAGTACTCTAGACATGAATGCATAACCTGAATCTATCCGTGGGGAAACATCACGCACTTTCAAGGTGAGTAGCTTTCTAGTGAAACAACAAAAAAGGACTATATTCTTAAAAAACAGGAATGTCATGAAAGACCAAAAACAAGGTTACAGATTTGTTCTAGAATAAAGGAGATAAAGGAGACACGACAATTAAATGCAGTACCTGAATTAAACTAGATCCTGTACTTCAGGGGAGAAAATGCTATTAAGGACATTATTGGGTGAACTGATAAACTGGAATACAAATGGTACTTTATTAAATTAAATCTTCTGAAGTTGATGTAAAGGAATGGTCCCACCCACAGACCCTGAATAATTTAGGGAATGACATGCAATTTACTCCCAGACTCTGAGTAAAAAAGTAATTATAACTTTTCTTATTCCTACATATTTTCTGCAAGTTCAAAATATTTCCAAATAGAGTGTTTTTGGAGTCTATGATTTAACAGAAGAAAGAGAGCCATACAAGACATCAGGAAGAGCACCTGGTCCACACCTAGAAAACGAGGTGGAGGCAGAAGAGCAAGCAGCGGCGGTAACCCAAGGTGCTGGGGCAGAGGGTGCAGTCTGAGGTAAAATGAGAGAGGCACAGTGGCTTACGGAAAGGAGAGAAGGGAAAAAATTCTACAAAGAGAAATTTGTCTGATTAAATACAAATTTACTTTAAGAATGAAACCAAAATTATAAAACAGTCATGAGTGGAAAAATACTGTCAGATAAAAATATCTTAGTAAGGAGAAACTTCATTATCAAGGGGAAGAAGGGACCATTGCAACAGGGAGAACACCGTGCGTACAAGGTCCTCAGGAAGTAGACAAAGAGTTTCTTGTACAGAAAGAAGCAAACAAAACTAGAAAGAATCAGGTGTAGGTAAGTGGGATGAAAGAACTGGGTACAGGATGATAGGTAAGATAAAGCTGTATCCTAAAGTCAGCCTATTTTTCAAGAAGGACCCTTAAGGGCTATATGCCAGCTCAAGCTGAGTGAGGGTGGGTCAAAGTACAGGGGCCTGAAACAAGGAAATAAGCACAGACTAAGTTTGGTTAACAGGCATTCTGTTCTGCTTTATCAGTGGGGACAGGCAGTTTGGTGAACTGCTTATGAGGCAAAGGGAATTTGGAGGGTCTGTGTCTGGCCATGATAATAAGGAAACAAGGGAAACACGTATCTAAGTTACAAGGGGAATATATATATATATATATAAAGTGGGTCTTGTAGTCAGCCATTTCCAAAACACAAAAGGGTGAGGGGATTTCTTAATCTTCAGGTAAACTTCAACACTGTCAATGGCAAGTACAGAAAATATTTAATGAATAGTAGAACAAGTTAGGTATGAAGTCTAAAGATTGATGGTGATTAGAAAAAGATTTTTACAACTGTGATTGCTTTTTTACAAATGTGGTTTCATTTCTAAACATTTCCACAGTACCAGACTTTGGCAGTACCAGTACAGACCACTACAAACAGCAGCTGTTACATCTGACTTGTAGTAATCCTAACAGAAAGATGTATTTTAAAAGAAAAAAGATATCTGGAAAAAAATCATGCTTATGAAATGAAAATAAATTAGACCATAAAATGCTTTTATTTTTTAAGCAGTACCTCATGCTATCTAAAACCAAGAAATTATTAAGAAACTAGTCTATTTCACACATATGAAAGGTCTGCTTGTATGACAGTATCACAAGGCTTTTTTAGCTTTATAGTGAATACCAAGGACTATATGATATACTGAAACTACAAATTTTTAGTGACCTAAAAATTCTTCTTACTCAAAAAAGATGCTTAAAACACCACTACAGAATTTTTTTTTTTAAGAGTAAGTTTTTATGTAGAGGACCTACAGCAGCTTTTTGCAACATGGAGAATTATCCTTTGTATGGAATGAAGGACCTTTTTCATGCATCTAGAATGGTACTAGTTATGTACTATCATTAGAAAAACTGGGAATTAGTCAAATCATTTTATATGTTCTGTGGTTCCAATGAGGTGCCCCAGTTAAGAAAGCTGGTTAAAAGGATGACACCTCAGACTGCAGATTTGGTCTTATGGGCAAGAGTTAATTACAGCTTAACTCTGGAGCTCCACCAATTATTCTAAGCAATGAAACCTCCAACTGGTACTTCAAACAGTAAACTATTAAATCTACCTTAACTACCTTAGAATTATACTTAACTACTTTCATACAAAATAGGTTTAGGTTTTCCATTTAACTTACTTGATGGTACACAGACTATTCATGCTGAAAAAGAAAGTTTAGTCCAGACTACTACAACAAGCTGTTTATGAATAAATCAATAAAAAGCCTAGTGTTCAAGATAATGTAAGTGACATTACAGAAGAAAAGAAAAAATTCAAGAGATATGGATTCAAGTCCCAGCTCTTCCATTTACTCATCATATTAGCTCTAATGACTAAATAGGCAGGATATTTAACCAAGACAACCTTCAATATCTTTACCTGTAAAATGGATTACACTTGGCTGGTCACTAGAACTCTCTAACATTCTCAGATTTTATGATGGGCAGGAAAGGATGATATATTTCAAGTTAGCTATTTCAAATATTCTAACCCATGATCTCTGTAAGTCACCAAAAAAACCAAAAACTCCCAGAAATTGCAAGATTTTTATATCCAAAACATTTTCAAGATTGAGCCACTATTGTTAGATCATATGATCTAAAAACAGTTACTGTTAACAAATGCTTTTTAATAAATGCTTTACATCTTGGCAGTTCTAACTATTTGTAAATAATCTCAAGAAGAGCCCCAGCATGGAATCATTTATAATCCTGCTAAGGAACAGCTCTGAACCAAACATGCTAAGGCTGCAGAAGTGAGCCACTAGTTAGAGAATGTCTAGCCTCACTCAGCTAAACTACCAGAATCTTTGTTCTCATCTATGCAGCAACTCTTGTGAAGTGACAATTGTGAAAATCCTTGATTTTTTAAATTGAGCTGAAAAGAAAGCCAGATGCTGGTGAAAGTAGAATGAAAATGGAAATGACTAAGAAACTGATGGTCCTTGGCCAGAAAACAGAACTTTTTGGTAAATGAAAGAATGAGTGAAATTAAATGTTCTAGTGGTGCTAAGAATTCACAACATCCCACAATACAACTCTTGTGAATGTCCAAGTATTCCAGCCAAATGCTCACCTATCAGTGCCCAAGCCACTGCGTCATTCTAAAGACACATTACTGGTTACCATTCCAAAACCTACTGAATCACAATCTCTGGGGAGACATCTCATACCATCAATTCAACTAAAGTTTGGCCTACCTACTACCTACCTATCACAAAATGGAGTACGCACACCAGGTAAAGCTGCATTAGAGCTATTAGTAAATTAAAATTGCTACTAGTACTTTTGCTTACTCTTTAAAAAGAGATTATCTGTTCTTTTTTTATTTTTCAAAGTAAAATACTTTAGTATCTATTACAGCAGCATCTGAATAGGAAGCTCCTGTTTATTAGTTTTATACACAATGGAATCTTTCATTCTTGAAATTTAATGCTTTCTAAATTAACTAAATTTTGGCATCTGTTCACCCCTCAGACTGATGCCTGTTCTAAATTTAATCCAGCTCCTAAAACAAATGAATGTTCCAACCCTTTTTTATACATATCAAGATTTAAATACTATAAATACAATGTTAGTGGCACATAAGACATTAGGAAAAAGTAAACTAAGAAATAGTTAATGAGCAAAGAAATTCACAAAACAAGCCTCTAGTTATAAATTCAATGTGCTGTCTACACAAATTGTATTAAATAAGTGGTGATTAAATAAGTGAGCATGACCTGTTTAATTTCTCAGAAAGAAGTTCCATAGGATCATGTCTTCAAAATCAAGTATATTTATCATACCATAATGGGGTTGGTCTGGCTGTGCTGTTTGCGCAACTAGATCTTTATTATGACGCAGAAACAGTATTGTGTTTCTCAGAGTGAGTGCATGATCAAAATATCTCTGTGCTTCTCCTTCACCAGTGCTCTGAACCTAAACCAAGAGAAAATAAATTTTGCAACAAATACCACTCTCATGCCATTCATTATAACATACAACCATATAGAAGAAATAATAGGACATTATGAAAAATCAGCAAATCAAAACTTTGCCCAGAAATACTGAAATAAATATTAATCTCAATCTCAGTTCAGTTTCCACTGGATTGCATCTTTGAAGATGACAGAAATTATCCTAACAAGTAAAACTGACAATTTTAGCAACTAAATAATGGTAAATTATACCATTATATAAGTTAGATGTCCCACATATGATTCAAACAGGGCGCTTTAAAAACTCTAAGATCTACATACTGTTTCACACAGAAAAGTAATGCAATCCATGGTCACCAATTATGCCTCTAATTCTCATCACCTTGTCCACAATTCTGTGCCACTGGTTGCAAAAGACAAAGGAGTATGTGATTTAAGACAGCTATTCGACATTGCTGAGCATACAGCTTAAATTCATTCAACAAGGATTCACTGAGTCCCTGCTTTGTGCTATGACATGTCTAAGATTTAAGGATAGAGCAAGTAGACAAGCCCCCTCCATGCCTTCTCTGGTTTTACACTTTAATGTATGCTCTTCTGACACTGAGTTTAAGCCATCTGTTTAATATGTAAAAACACATACATCCCAGAAATACCACAGAAAATGGAAGGACAGGCCCACAAGGGGAAATAACTAAATTAGACTTGCATTAAATTAACAAATGAGGCTTCTGAAAAAATAGCTAAGAAATTATTTTTAAAAATGAAACTTTAAACTAAAAGGCTTTCCAAGAATGTGGTAACAAAGAATACAGAAATATAAAGAGTAAGAATAATTTTCCAATCTGCTACACTTGATAAAAAACTAGTTGGGGTAAGAAAATAAAAATCAGGAAAACAGAACTTAAAATGTGCTACAACATAATAAAAACTTAGTGGCAAAAGATGATATGCAGTAAGAAATGAGTTAACAAGATATTAAAAGTCTTGAAGGAATAATGGAATAAAGAAAGGAGTAATTTAATATACAGAGTTCACCACTAAAGCACAAAATGCACCAAAATTATTAGTCAAGGAACAGATTAGGCACACAAACTCTTTGCATAAAGAAGAGCAGAGGACAGAATAAAATATCCAGGGAATGAAAAACAAAAGGGCAGCCAAGATTTAGACCTAAGGAACACTAGGGCTGTACTCACAGGGAAAAGGTGGTTAAGAGCAAATATGGCTGAAGTCTTCAAGACACTACAAGGGATAGTGAGAAAGGACATAAATATGATACCCAGAGACCTTGTTCCAGATTAAGATAAGTGGAACAAAAATTTCAAGTAAGACTGCTTAAGAAGAGATGTTAGAAAGGCTATTTTAGAAAAATGTACTTTCAAATATTACACATGGACAAAGATTTCTATATCCCATTTCTTCATTATATCAAATTATGCTAAGAGTTAGATGAGGTAGACAAATCACTTTTAAAAATCACAAATATGTTTAAATCTAAATGATTGCCACAGAATTAAGGTGGGAAATGAGGTAAAAATAAGCAAGAATATACCAAAAACCTACATAATCAAAAACTGGTATTTTATCAAGAAAAGGTTCCAAATGCCCTGACATCCCATAATAAGCAATATAGATTTACCTTTTCTAGTTCTATAAGAAAGCTATCCAGAGACTCATCAGAGAGCTTGCCAACTTCAAACATTGTGACTGCATGACTTTTCAAGTTCTGCAATAAAGAAACAAAAACTAAAAAATGAAAACGTAGCTTAGCACCTTATACAGTCTGTTATTTACAAGTTCTAGTTTCTCCTTTTATGCTAAGCATCCAATCTTATATTTATATAATGTTTTCCAATACACTTAATAAGGGTGAGTGAGGTAAGGGGCTGATTCTTCTAATTATGCAAATACCCTTCACTAAAAAGTTACTATAATCCTCTAAGGAATATAAAACAAACTCAGTTGCACTTGGCATTTTCAGGAATAAATCTAGTACTTAAAAAAGGTGTAACAGCACTAAACTCCTTTATATCTAATCTTTAAACATTTTTCACACTTAAACAAGAATTTTACTTACTGGTGAAAGATTTCCCATCATTAAAAAGGCAGTAAGAGTTGAGTCAAACAGGAGTGCAATGCGCTTTGTATATCCCGCAGACAAACTCAAACTGCTTACACTGGCTGTGTCAGCTGAAAAAAAAAATCATAAATTAGAATCAAGTAAATGAAAATAATTCTTTGCTTATCATTTGGAATGAGCAACTATTTCATTTCAGATTTATCTAATAACTGGGAAGTACAAAATTAAATGTAAGCAGTATTATAGTTGTAACAGGCCTCAGCCCTGCCTATCTCCAACACAGAGGAAGTTAGAAAAAAATTTCTAAAAGCACTCAATTTGAGGTGAAATGTCACCTCATTTCCCACTGTGAAACAGGTGACAGGAGAAAACTGATAGCTTGACCTGAGTGACCTGAATGCATACACATGTCAAAATTGATCAAGATATACACTAAGATTTGTAAAAAAAATCTAAAAAAATTTTAAAAATAAAGGCACTCAGTTGTGTAGTAAATTTCGTGAAAACCAATAATAAAACAAGACTTGAGAACTGTCAGATCAATATGACTAATTAGCCTAACCTCTTTAGACAACTCACCTGGCTCAGGTAACACAGATACTGAGGTATGAAAGGCAGGCTATGCTATATTCCTCTCTCCACTCAAGACAAAACCATATGCGGCTCTCTCATCCACTGTGCTTTACTTCCCTTTGTGCTTATTATTTAGCACATGCTATGGCCTTCCCTCACTCACAAGCCTATAAGCTCCTATTCATTCTTCACCCAAATATCATCTCCATAAAGGATTCCCAAAGCTCTCTAAGCAGTAAAAGGGTTCTTCCTCTTTGCTGCCCATAAGTACCAAAACGCTCTCACATTGTTGTGGTTTTTGTAGTTCCAATGCCTTCTCCCTCCCTAAACTTAATTCTTAAAAGGAAGATACTACATTCTTGTTGATTTTATACCCCTAAGACCTAGCAGAGTGCCCAACATATGGGAAAATACTCAAAGACTACATATTGAATGAATAACATCTAAAACTGTAACATAGCTAAGTCTGGAGACTTAACTCCACATGTGTATGTGTAAATACATGGTGTATCTATAGACAGACTCTAAATTAAACTGAGTAACTGCTAACCTGGATCTTCTTGACTATTTGTATCAGTGTCAGTAGCCGATGAAGCTTCTTGTACAGGACTCCTACTTTCCCCGCCATCCCATGATAGGAGCATCTTTTGTGGATCTAAAGTACTCCTATTAACAAAGAATACATTCATTTTTTTAAAAATCATATAAATGATCTTATGCAGAAAAAGAAAGAGTACTTTAAGAATGTGTTTGAGAAGAGCAACCATCAACTTAATATAGACTGTTAAATAGTTAACCACAAACATAAAACCTATGATAGGTACACAAAAAATTTAAAAAGAGAACTCCAATCACTCCACTAAAGAAAACAAATAACAAGAGTATAAGACAGGAAGAAAGGAACCAGAGGAGCTACAAAAACAACCAGAAAACAATTAATAAAATGGCAACAAGAATGTACCTTGCAATAATTTGCTTAGTAAATGGACTGAATGCACCAATCAAAGGACACAGAGTGGCAGAATGGATAAAGATATAAGACCCATCTATATTGTGCCTATAAGACACTCATTTCACACCCAAAGACATACACAGACTGAAAGTTAGGGGACAGAAAAAGATATTTCATGAAAATAATAGGGAGAAAAAAACAGAAGTAGAAGTACTTCTATCAGACAAAACACACTTTAAAACAAAGAAAGTAACAAGAGACAAAGGACATTACATAATAATTAAGGGATCAGTACAACAAGAGGATATAACCATTATAAGTATCTATGCACACCTAAGTAGAGCACCTAAATATGTAAAACAAATACTAACAGAATTAAAGGGGAACTAGGCTGCAACGCATTCATGTTAGGAAACTAACACAAAACACACATCAACATACTGATCAACCAGAAAGAAAATAAAGAAACAAACAGAGGCACTGAACAATACATTAGATCAGATGGACTTAACAGATATCTACAGAACATTCCGCCTAAAAGCAGCAGGATACACCTTTTTTCTCAAGTGTACATGGAACGTTCTCCAGGATAGATTACATACTAGGCCACAAAAAGAGCCTCAAAAATTCAAAAAGACTGAAATTGTATCAAGCAGCTTCTCAAGACCACAATGGATAAAACTAGAAATAAATTACACAAGGAAAATAAAAAAGACCACAAACATGTGAAGGCTAAACAACATACTTCTAAATAATCAATGGATCAATTAACAAATTAAAACTGAAACCAAACAGTACATGGAGACAAATGAAGACAAAAATTCAACAGCCCAATGACTGTGGAATACAGCAAAAGCAGTTCAAAAAGGGAAGTATATAGCAATTCAGGCCTACCTCAAGAAATAAGAACAATCCCAAATAAACAGTCTAAACTCACAATCAAAAAAACTAGAAAAAGAAGAACAAATGAAACCCAAAGTTAGTAGAAGGAGGGACATAATAAAGATTGGAGCAGAAATAAATAAAATAGAGAAGAATAAAACAATAGGATAAAAACCAATGTAACCAAGAGCTGGTTCTTTGAGAAAACAAACTAAACAGATAAACCCCTAGTCAGACTTACCAAGAAAAAAAGAGATGACACAAACAAATCAGAAATGAAGGAGGAATAGTCACAATGGATACCATAGTGCCCAAAAGCAATTCACAGATTCAATGCAATTCCTATCAAAATACCAATAACATTTCTCAATGAACTAGAACAAATCGTTCTAATATGCATATGGAACCTCCAAAGACCCCAAATAGCCAAAGAAATTCTGAGAAGGAAGAACAAAACTGGGGGGATTACACTCCCTGACCTCAAGCTATACTACAAAGCTACAGTAATTAAAATAGTACGGTGCAGGCACTAGACCCATGGATCAATGGAACAGAATAGAGAACCCAGATATAAACTCTACACATATATGATTAATTAATATATGATAAAGGAGCCATGAATATACGATGGGGAAAAGACAGCCTCTTCAACAACTGGTGCTGGGAAAAATGAATGACTACATGTCAGAGAATGAAACTGGATTATTGCCTAACTCCATACACAAAAGTAAACTTGAAATGTATCAAAGACCTGAATGCAGGTCATGAAACCATAAACTCACAAAAGAAAACATAGGCAAAAATCTCTTGAACTAAGCATGAACAATTTTTTCCTGGACATATTACCTCAGGTAAGGGAAACAAAAAATGAACAAGCGGGACTTATAGCAAACTAAAAAGTTTCTCTACAGCAAAGAACACTACCAGTAGAGGAAAAAGGCAACTTACAGGATGGAATAATATATTTGTAAATGATTTACCTGATAAAGGGTTTACACCCAAAATATATAAATAACTCAATATACCTCAACACCAAAAAAACAAATAACCCAATTAAAAAAATGGGCAGAGGACCTGAACATTTTTCCAGAGAAAAAAATACAGATGGCCAAAAGGCAGAGGGGATAAAAAGGCACAAAAATTCTCAATCATAATATAAGATGGTCACAGGGATGGTAAGTACAGCTATCACGGGGACTGCCAGTATTCTGTAACATCTTCCTATGTTGACAGATAGTAACGGCACTAATGGGAGTAAAGATTTAATAATATGAGTAACTGTTGAACCACTGTGTTGTATACTTGAAACCATATAAGACTGTATATCAATGATACTTCAATTTAAAAGAAAATATATAAAATAGCTACTGAAGTCAAACTTAAATCCAGTCTTAACATTCATGTCCAAAATTGAGATGTAGCCCAAAAATGCTCTGCCCCCACAAAGCAATGGTTCTTAACTAAGACCCGTGGATAGGCTTCACAGAACTTCAGAAACCCTCAAAATTATACATAAAATAATCTATGCACTTTTCTCTGGGGAAAGGGTTCTTAATTTTCATCCTATTCTAAAAGAGATTCATCACACATGAAAGACTAAAAAACACTTACAGGGTTCACCTCAACTGACAGGCTGAATAAAATATTTGTATGTAAAAGTATTTTTTCAAAAGGAAACACTAATATCTTATACTGAAAAATTAGTTACTTTAATCTGTTTACGGATGGAACATTCCTCCAGGATGAATGAAGTTGATCCAAATTTATTACTTGTCCCTTCTTATGGGCAAAGCCCAATCGGCAATACATTGAAACAGCGTTCTAAAAGAATATAAAGGAAATTAGCATTTAAAATAAACTAGATGTCAGAACATATGTAGAGATAAAATACTGTCAGAGACTAATGCTTATTAATGATCCTCAAACATTTTCATCCTATAAGTACAAAAAAAAATTTCAGCAGGCTTCTTCTTTCCCTAAGGTCCTACCATTTATGTAGGAGAGGGAATGTATCCAATTCTCCTGGCGCTCCCTAGATCTATTGCTTTAACTGACTCCATTAGGAGATACTGATCAGGCTGCTTTTGGCTTTTCACAGAAGCTGAGTGCTGGCTTACACTCCACGAAGTGGAATATGGACTCAGGGCCTTTATCATGCTTTTTTCTATCTTTGCGAGCACCCTCTTTCCTGCGCACACTCCCAACAGCTAGGAAGAATCTCACTGCTTCTGTTTCTCAGTAGCTTATCAAGACAAAAATCTGTAATAAACTCCATTCAGTATTCACATTATAAGTAAAAAGGGTATAAAAATTACCTACCTTAACCAGGGATAAGTCTATCTCAAGGACATTTGCAAGCTGGAAAAAAACATTGATTTTATTTTCTTAGAATTATCAACATAGTATGCAGCTATAATAGACAATTTAACCATAAGCAGTAAAATTTTAAATTATGAGTAACTGAAAGATTAATTTTGAAATGTTCTTTCCATATCTCCAAGATGCTTAGAATAGTGTGAATCCAGGTAGTGACTATAATTTAAGATTCCTTACTCTTTAATTTTGTGTCACTTAAAATAAGAAAATTCCTGTATCAATCAATAGTCTACAACTCTTTTACTATAAAGTCATATAAAATGTTATTTATCAATTTATAAATTAACTAAAAAACATGTAATATACATATGTGAAAAATAACTTAAGAATAGTGAGTTAAATATATTAATGGTCTTTGATATACCCAAATAGAGATTCTGAAAAATTTTTAAATATCATTAAATAATTTTAACAACTTTACACAAACTTATAATCTTGAGGTTCTTTCATAAGATGTTGTCACACTTACCTCTGCAACATTAGTATGCTCGTCTATTGAAACAAATATCTTATAAAGCAGAGTTTCAAAATAATCACCTTGCACTCGATTCATTACAAATCCTTCAAGAGGAGGAACTAAAACAAAATAGACTTTTCTCAGTGACACTTTACAAAACAAGAAAGTATAATTCAAATACAAATTCAGAAAGAAACCTCTACCTTAGGGACTGAATTCAGTGTTTCCCACTCCACAGAAAGTTTTCTAAAACTCTCAGAGGTTAGACCGTATATAACTCTTGTCTACACAGACAAGACTGAAGTTAAAGCACAAATTCTACAAAGAGTAATTTGATCTCCATGGAACTCTCAACATTATGGAGACAAAGGAAATGCTGTCATATTCAGACTTGCAGGCTGGACCTTATTTCAGTATTCGATCTGAACTAGGTCCAACTTGATATTCTTCTATTTGGATAACCAATAGCATTCAGAAAAATGCTTACTTTGCCTTTGTGTCCCACTTTGGTAATTCTCAAAATTTTTCTTTGTTATTGTTGTATTTGCTCTGGTAATCTGTGATCAGTGATCTTTAATGTTACTGTTATAACTGATATAGTATGCCACAAACCATGCCCAAATAAAACAGTGAACTTGATGTGTGTTCTGACTGCTCCACCAATTGGCCGTTCATCAACTCCCTTTCTTCAGGCCTCTCTATTCTTAAGAAGACACAGTAATACCAAAATCAGACCAATTAATAACCCTACAAAGGCCTCTAAGTGTTAAAGTGAAAGGAAGAGTCACACATCTCACTTAAATCAAAAGCCAGAAATGATTAAGCTTGGTGAAGAAGGCATGTCAAAAACCAAATGAGGCCAAAAACTAGGGCTCTTGCACCAGTTAGCCAAGTTGTGAATGCAAAGGGAAAGTTCTTAGAAGCAAATTAAAAGTGTTATTCCAGTGTACACACCAATGATGAGAAAGCAAAACAACCTTCTTGCTGGTATGGAGAAAGTTACAGTCTGGACGGAAGATGAAACCAGCACATTCCCTTAGCCAAAGCCTAATCCAGAGCAAGCCCTCTGTTCAATTCTATGAAGGCTGAGAGAGGTGGGAAGGAAAAGTCTGAAGCTCGCAGAGATTGGCTCAGGAGGTTTATGGAAAACAGCTGTCTCCATAGCACAAAAGGGCAAGGTAAGCAGCAAGCGCTGATGTAAAAGCTGCAGAAGGACATCGAGATCTAATTAAGGTAATTAACGAAGGTGGCATACACACAGACTTCTATTTAAAGAAGGTGCCATCTATGACTTCCATAGAAGTAAAGAGCTAGAGAGCTCAATGCCTGGGCTTCAAAGTTTCCAAGGACAAGCTGACTCTCTTGTTAGAGGCTAATGTAGCGAGTGACTTTAAGCTGAAACCAGTGCTCATTTACCATTCCCCAAATCCTAGAACCCTTAAAACCTAGCTACATCTACTCTGCCTGTGCTCTGCGTGGGACAACAAAGCCTGGACAATAGCATATCTGTTTACAACATGGTTTACTGAATATTTTAAGCCCACTGTTGAGACAGTCTGCTTAGAAAAAATGGTAACTTTCAAAATACTACTGCTCATTGGGAAGACAGCTAAAAAAGTAAATAGTAATTCTAGTTTGTATAATTGGTGATACAACAAATAAAATAGTAGCTTGACAGTTGGAAAGGTTTTAATACGGAAATGATTTCAGAAAGACAGAGGTGGTAATGTTTTCCTATCACCATTGGACAGTATATGAAAGCATTACCCTAATCCCCCTCTCAGCTGATAAACTGATGTTGACTCACTTGAAAATCCCCTAAAAAGCCTGGGTTTTGATTAGTTCATGTTTGAGCATTGACTCAGATTAGTGCAAGGTTCATTGAAAGATTTCATCAGGGAAGGGCCAGATGGATGGCTACTCTACGGCAGTGGTGTGTCCTGTATGCTTCACCTAGTATCTGGGTAATACAAGAGATTTGATGTAGATGTTCACGAAGATTAATGTGTTTCCAAGCTAACTAGCATTATATCCATTCTGCAGCCCAATAAGTCAAGGAATAATTTTAACTTTCAAGTCTTACTATTTAAGAAATACATTTCATAAGGCCATAGCTACCATAAACTGACTCCTGATGGATGAGAAAAGTAAATTGAAAACCTTCTTGAAAGGAATCACTAGATGCCACTGAGAACGTGTGCATCTCATGGAAAGACTTCAAAAGGTCAACATTACTAGGACTTTGGAAGAAACTGATTCCAACTCTCAGGGATGACCTAGAGCGGTTCAACACTTCAGTGGAGGAAGTAAACGCACAGTTAGTGGATATCAAATTAGAAATGGAGCCTGAAGATGTGACTGAACTTGCTACAATCTCATGATAAAACTTTAATGGATGAGTTCAGCAAAGAAGTGGTCTCGAGATGGAATCTACCTGCAGTGAAAACATGCGGTGAAGACTGTTGAAATGACAGCAAAGGATTTACATTACATAAACTTAGTAGATAATGCAACAGTAGTGTTTGGGAGGATTGACTCCTATTTTGAAAGAAGTTCTGTGGGTAAAAATGCTATGGAACAGTATGACACACACAGAGAAATCATTCGTGTAAAGAAGAGTCCGTCAGTGTGGCAAACGTTATTCTTATTTGAAGAAATTGCTACAACCACCCCCAACCTTCAGCAATCACCAGTCAGCAGCCATCAAGAGGGAGGCAAGACCCTCCACCAGCAAAAAAGATTGTGACCCACTAAAAGTTCAGATGATGGTCAGCTTTGTTTAACAATAAAGTATTTTTAAATTAAGGTATGACCATTCTTTCCTTAGATATAATGCTACTACACACTTAATAGACTACAGTATAGTATAAATTAATTTTTATATGCACTGAGAAACCAAAAAAGAAAAAATTTGACTCGTTTTATTGCAATATTCACTTTATTGTAATGCTCTGGGAACCAAACCCACAATTGCTGTTGTATGCCTGTATAAATATATTTTAGTTAACAACAGACCCATTCATTATTATCTGCTTCAAACTACTTCTCTCATCTACTTATTTGTTTAACCACCCACAGTGCTTGTGTTTCGCTGAAATACAATAAATGCTTCCTTTGAAATCACTTCCAGGTGATTTTTTGTGTTGAAATTGATGGCTCCCAAGTTGTCAAAGGACTTTCCTTTCATGGGTTACTCCAATTTAGGGAACACCAGAGGTAATATGGTGATAAGGCGAGTGAAATCACCAGTTGTGATACCGTATGTCTGTCTGTTCCACCCAAAATTTCCAGATACTAGGTGAAGCATACAGGACACACCACTGCCATAGAGTAGCCATCCATCTGGCCCTTCCCTGACGAAATTTTTCAAATGAACCTTGCACTAATCTAAGTCAATGCTCAAACATGAACTAATCAAAACCCAGGCTTTTTAGGGGATTCTCAAGTGAGTCAACATCAGTTTATCAGCTGAGAGGGGGATTAGGGTAATGCTTTCATATACTGTCCAATGGTGATAGGAAAACATTACCACCTCTGTCTTTCTGAAATCATTTCCTTATCAAAACCTTTCAAACTGTCAAGCTAGTATTTTATTTGTTGTATCACTAATTATACAAACCAGAATTACTATTTACTTTTTTAGCTGTCTTTCCAAGCTTAAAACAGAATACATGTGTGCACATGGTTAAAAATACAATTATTAAAGAGCCACAAACACATACTAACACAAATAAAGGTCAGGACACACTAAGAGCCAGATAAATGTTTAAGATTCAACACTGCAATGAGAGAGTATTTCTATAATAAGGCTTATCACAACTCAATTATTAATAGATCATTCCCCAGAAATTTTTGAAACTATACATTTAATTATACAAATATTAAATGGTAAAAGATAAAACAAACAGGAACAATAGCTAAAAATATGCTAGAAAATACACTTGCAACACAAAACCTAAATACAGGAAGTACTTCTACAAATTGGTAAGAATCTAACCTATAGTAAAAAATCTCCACTCTGTGTTCAAGGATGTATACCAAATCACTATTTCACTATTGTAGCAAAAACTGTAAATAATCTAAATAACCAGCAATAGGGGGATGTTTTAATAAATTGATACATCAGTAAGGTATAGAAAGACATAAACAAGGGTCTTAATATTGGTTTAACTTAGGGAGTGAGTCAAAGAGAGGAAAGAGGAGTCAAAGAGGAAGGAAGAGAAAAAGACAAGGACAGTAGTGACATGGAAACTTAAGACACAGATATGTTGAGTGAAAATGGAAAACATAATTCTATGATTTTACTGAATATATGTAAAAACATATGCACTGAACAAGGTGACATAAATTTATAAAAACATTACTTTGACTTAGGATTGTGAGAAATTTACTTGGATTTCTGTTATCTTTAATATAGCGCATACAACAAATAACATGAAGATGAAAGTAACAAATACATCATGTGTTACACTGTAATGAAAAAGAAATGCCTTTCTTTGAAAAATTCTAACTTCAAAGATCCTAGAATGTGTGTCTAACTTATTAGGGTGATATATATAGTGCCCAGCACCTAGTGACCATTCAGAAAACATTGAAAAATATTAGCACATACTTACCTGCTATACAACTGTCATCAGATATTGGTACATCCAGATAAATAAACCCTTTGTTATATAAACCTATAGAAGCAAAAGTACCTTGTTACAGATAGAATAGTAGACAGTAGCAACATTCTTTTTAAAAACTGATTCCTGCTGTTCTGTAAAGATTCTTACAACTGAATGCTATGTGAAGAAAAAATAGAAAAGAATTATGTTAAAGTTTTCAAATCTGTTTCCTTCTTATGCTCAAAACTATAAAATTTATCTTATCACTCATTTATATAAATTTCTAGTATATATGACTAATTATAGCTACACTAGAAAATAATGGACTAATCACATTTCAAACAATAACATACCTTAGGAAACAGCACTATGTATACCTAATTGATAAAACTCAACTGTTGATGGTTTAAACAAGTTTTTATGTTGACAAAAGACTATTTCTACTAACCACTTACTATGTACTACATTGTAATCTAGCGATCCAGCGAGTTGAGGGCCTGCATCAATGATCTTATCAATAGCGCATTTCTCAGGCAAAGTGCATATCTAAAAACACAAAATATTTTCAATTAAGGTCTGTCCAAATTAACTAATTCTTAAGTCTCCTGAAATCTATTCATGTTTAAAGCAATGATTATATGTCAAATCTAAGTCAATGCTCAAACATGAACTAATCAAAACCCAGGCTTTTTAGGGGATTCTCAAGTGAGTCAACATCAGTTTATCAGCTGAGAGGGGGATTAGGGTAATGCTTTCATATACTGTCCAATGGTGATAGGAAAACATTACCACCTCTGTCTTTCTGAAATCATTTCCTTATCAAAACCTTTCAAACTGTCAAGCTAGTATTTTATTTGTTGTATCACTAATTATACAAACCAGAATTACTATTTACTTTTTTAGCTGTCTTTCCAAGCTTAAAACAGAATACATGTGTGCACATGGTTAAAAATACAATTATTAAAGAGCCACAAACACATACTAACACAAATAAAGGTCAGGACACACTAAGAGCCAGATAAATGTTTAAGATTCAACACTGCAATGAGAGAGTATTTCTATAATAAGGCTTATCACAACTCAATTATTAATAGATCATTCCCCAGAAATTTTTGAAACTATACATTTAATTATACAAATATTAAATGGTAAAAGATAAAACAAACAGGAACAATAGCTAAAAATATGCTAGAAAATACACTTGCAACACAAAACCTAAATACAGGAAGTACTTCTACAAATTGGTAAGAATCTAACCTATAGTAAAAAATCTCCACTCTGTGTTCAAGGATGTATACCAAATCACTATTTCACTATTGTAGCAAAAACTGTAAATAATCTAAATAACCAGCAATAGGGGGATGTTTTAATAAATTGATACATCAGTAAGGTATAGAAAGACATAAACAAGGGTCTTAATATTGGTTTAACTTAGGGAGTGAGTCAAAGAGAGGAAAGAGGAGTCAAAGAGGAAGGAAGAGAAAAAGACAAGGACAGTAGTGACATGGAAACTTAAGACACAGATATGTTGAGTGAAAATGGAAAACATAATTCTATGATTTTACTGAATATATGTAAAAACATATGCACTGAACAAGGTGACATAAATTTATAAAAACATTACTTTGACTTAGGATTGTGAGAAATTTACTTGGATTTCTGTTATCTTTAATATAGCGCATACAACAAATAACATGAAGATGAAAGTAACAAATACATCATGTGTTACACTGTAATGAAAAAGAAATGCCTTTCTTTGAAAAATTCTAACTTCAAAGATCCTAGAATGTGTGTCTAACTTATTAGGGTGATATATATAGTGCCCAGCACCTAGTGACCATTCAGAAAACATTGAAAAATATTAGCACATACTTACCTGCTATACAACTGTCATCAGATATTGGTACATCCAGATAAATAAACCCTTTGTTATATAAACCTATAGAAGCAAAAGTACCTTGTTACAGATAGAATAGTAGACAGTAGCAACATTCTTTTTAAAAACTGATTCCTGCTGTTCTGTAAAGATTCTTACAACTGAATGCTATGTGAAGAAAAAATAGAAAAGAATTATGTTAAAGTTTTCAAATCTGTTTCCTTCTTATGCTCAAAACTATAAAATTTATCTTATCACTCATTTATATAAATTTCTAGTATATATGACTAATTATAGCTACACTAGAAAATAATGGACTAATCACATTTCAAACAATAACATACCTTAGGAAACAGCACTATGTATACCTAATTGATAAAACTCAACTGTTGATGGTTTAAACAAGTTTTTATGTTGACAAAAGACTATTTCTACTAACCACTTACTATGTACTACATTGTAATCTAGCGATCCAGCGAGTTGAGGGCCTGCATCAATGATCTTATCAATAGCGCATTTCTCAGGCAAAGTGCATATCTAAAAACACAAAATATTTTCAATTAAGGTCTGTCCAAATTAACTAATTCTTAAGTCTCCTGAAATCTATTCATGTTTAAAGCAATGATTATATGTCACTAGTTAAATGTACTACATATTTTTTTCTTTTATTACTCTAAAATTAAACAAAAAAGCTGTGCATATAACCAACAGTTAAGGTACAACATTATCAACAGAATACAGAAAACAAAGTAACTAGAAGTACCAATATTTGCTAGTGAGCAATATGTATGCACTAATAAGTATTAATATTTACTCACCTTCTTTGAATTAGAATCAGATACATTTGCTGATTCTAAATCTCAAATCAGAAATTTATTCAAACTCCACATGAATATTATCAGTGACTGGAAGTTCACTATCTTATGACACAGTTTGACAGCTCTGTTAGGGAGTTCTTATACAATCAAAATTCCTGAGCCAAGCCTTACACTCACTGAATTTAATCTGTCGTCTGGAGTAAAAGTAAATCACAAACCAAAAAAAGTCCACATGTTCACTCACATTCCTTCAACCATACAGAGATATGACCTGGTTTCTAGGCCCCTCATGCATTGCCCCACCCCTTTCCTCTAAATTAGCATCCGTTCTAAAATGTATAAAGCTTGTATCAATTGCAGTCTGACCACTGGAAATATAGTTTCCCTTATCTTGACACTATCACCTTATCAAAGTACCTACCACTTTAGTACAGCAGTTCAGCAGACTGATTAAGAGCACAGTTCCATGGCCAACCACCCAAGTTAAAATTCTGGACCTTTTTTACTATCACTATGACTTGAGCCATTACTTCATTTCTGTGCTCATTTTCCTCACGTGTGAAATGGGGTACAAATGATACATACTTCTGGGGTTGTTATGAGAAGCAAA